ATTAAATTGGCTCCCACTTCTCCACGTGTGAGGGAAGATTCCACCTGCCTCTCAGCAGGTGTCCCGATTTCTGGATGTTTCAGACGTTTTCTCATGTCTTCATCCTCTTTCACGGGTCTAGGGCTATTTCAGAAGTCCACCTTTGGGACTTCTTTGAATCTGTCTCTTGTCTCTTGTTTTTCCTCTCTCTCTATACAACTTAATGTATGTAAAGCACTTAGAACACACTGCCGGAGTATACCTTTGCCATAGTAAGTGCAAGCTCTTACGGCCCACTAGAAAGGGAACTGCACTGGTCCATTTGTTCAGTGCTAGGTTCTCAGTGCAGAGGACAGTGTCGCACAATGACATCAGTGTCCCTGTTTACCTTCCACGTCACTCTTTTATCTCTTGTTATTTCTTTTCTTGAAGACAAAGTTTAGTTCACTAATGTTCCTTTTAATTCTATAATTTAAAAGGCATTTCTGTCTATACATTTCTCTGAATGCTAACAATGTCTCTAATGCTGATTTTGCTACATCCTACAGTTTTAATAGACATGTTTTCTTTTTTTGGTTCCATGTATATTCTAGTTTTGATTTTTATTATTTTTACAAAGATGTTATGTATAAGTGTGATTTTAAATTTCCCAAATTGGACATAGTTTTATCTTTTGTTATAGATGAACTAATTGTGTTGTGGTCAGATAACATATGGATAATACTGCTTTTTTTCTGAACTGTTGAGACTTACGTTATGGTATGTAAGTTCAAGTATGCATTCCCTGCCTATTGGATGAGCAGTTCCATAAATGTCCACTTTGTTTTCAAAGTTTTGGTCTCAGAACCTCTGTATATTCTTAAACATATGTTGAGACTTCCAGAGCACGGCCAGTGTGGCTCAGCGGTTAAGCATCGACTCATGCGCCGAGTTTGATTCCCAGTCAGGGCACATGCCCAGGTTGTGGGCCCAATCCCCAGTGGGGGGCATGCAGGAGGCAGCCAATCAATGTTCTCTTTCATCGATGTTTCTCTCTCCCTCTCCCTTCCGTTCTTTCTAAAAGCAGTAAAGGAAAAAAAAATTTTTTTTAAAGAGAATTCCAGAGACTTAAAAAAAAAATGTAGTTATATCTAACAATACTGACCATCTTTGAAATTAACATAACGAAGTTTTTCAGTCATAACTTAAAGTTTTCCAATACCTGAATCAAGTACCAGCTTTACATTTAAGTTTAAGTTAAGCACTAGAAGTAGACATGCAGTTACTCCATCACACTAGCCACGTGTCAACAGCTTACTGGGCGCATGGAGCTCAGTGGTCCCACGCTGGAAAGTACGGATCTCAATCGGGGGTGGGTTCGTTGTCCTCCACGTGCCAATTTAAGCTGTGAGGCAAATTCTAAAACTAATACCTTCTTTCACATGCTGTGGAAGGCAGAGAATTCTGAAATCTGATGAGAATAAAAAATGTTTAGACTGTTTCTTTGGGGGGGGGAGTATTGTCTCTTTGCTCTTTCCTCTCAATTTTGCTTTGGAACCTGAAATACCTCTTTAAAAAGTAAAGCCTTTTTAAAAGAAAATACAACGTAGAAGTTTTTGCTAATGACATTCATTCTAACACATAATGAAAATTGGTGTACAGAAGGTACGGGGGACGAGACCGGCACGGCGGGTTCCGCAGGGAGCTCGGCCTCGTGTGCATGGTGACGGGAGAGAAGCTGGAGAACAGATGATGAGAATACTTTCATGTCAGATCTATGACTTTATTCTGCATTCCAGGGAGCGCTATTAATGCCTAGTCATGTTTTGATTTGTATTTCTGGAACACCAATCTAGCAATTGATGCACAGGATGGCTTGCAGGGAGGTGAAATTAGAGGCTCAAAGCCTAATTAAGAGGTTAGTTCAATTACCCAAGCGAGAAAAAATGAGAACCTGACCTGGGAATAATGGAGGTGGAGAAAATGATGACAGAAGCAAGAGACGTAGTGACCAGTTGGATATGGAAAATTAAGTTGGGAAGTACCTAGCATAACTCCCAGAGAAAGTGACTGTCAGGCATTTGTACCATCAGGCAAAATAGGATGGCTAGAAAAGAGAGGGAGGAGGGAGAGAATTCTAAGGCAGAAAGAAATCCTGAGAGGCAGTGCTACAGAAATCTACTGTTGCCATGACTACTAGTTCAAGTACCATGCTGTTTATATCAATTTCAAATGTTTCCACCTCCACTGCTGCTACTGGGTTTTCAATTGGCACCCTAGAAACTTTGGCTGCAACTTTCGGTGGTATAACTTTGGAATCTGGGTTAAAATTCCTTGGAGTGGGTGGAGCAGCGTCTACTACACCATCAATGACTACCACCACCACCACAACCGCTAATGGCTTTACCTTCAGTTGAAAACCAGTAATATCATTTGGGATTAATAACACTGTTCCAGTTGGTGTTGCTTTTATACCTTTTACTTCAACTGTCAATTCGAGCATAACTCCCATGATGACATATCATCAGCTGGACAGTCTGATAAACAAATGGAGCCTTGAGTTAGAGGATCAAGGGAAGCTTCTCCAGACCACCCAGGTCAATGCTTGGGACCACCCACGGACTGAGGAATGGTGAGAAGACTACTATTTTATATGGAGAAGTGGAAAAAGTGCAATTGGATCAGAAGAGGCTGGAAAGAGAATCAGATTTTGTCCTGTCGAAGCAGAAGGAACTAGAAGATCTGTTGACCCCTTTATAGGAGTCTGTGGACCAGAGTAGGTCTGTTTATCCAAAGCATGTAGATGAGTGTGAGAGGACTTACAAAGTAGCAGAAAATGCAGGTGCTCAGCAGGAATGAATGGCCCAGGATCTGATGGACATTACTGGGCACCTGAAAATATCTGCTCCCCTGACACTACTGACCCGCTCCAACAGTTCTGCAGAATTCTGAATGCTCATATGGACTCTACAGTGGATTGGCCAGAATTCAGGCTGCTGCAACAGAAGGTAGAAGAGGGAGCACAGGTTTTCCAAGGTCACCTTCACAAGGAGCAAGAACACAATGTCAGAATCGCTTTTGATTGAATGAGTGTATTGTGTTGTTTTGGGGTTATACATTATCTACAATTTTGATGACATTAAATAGAGTAGAAGTTAACGACTGATATGTGACTTTCGGTTGCAATAAAGTGTGTGTTTAGGTTTTTTTCCATTTAAATACTGTGCTGTTGAGAATTATACTGTAGTTTGACTTTTAGTATTAGCAAATCAAAGCTATATTAGCCATTTTGTCTAGGCAGCAGCGTATTAGATGTTGGCTCTGTTTTTCAATTTGTATCTTACTCTCCTAGATTCCAAATCCTACCACCAACGCACATCATCCTTCTCACTCTAACAAGATTAGAGAGTAATACTTGTCAAAAAATAAATGCCAACTAGCCTTGGATGGGTCCCTGTTACATAGTAGTAGTAGATACTGTAAGGTCTCTCTTATCAAGGGGACTTACTGTCCAGCTTGAGATATGATTGGCGCCTCTCTGTATAAAAGCAATGTAGAGAATACAGGGAAGTGTGTTATGAATTACAGAAAGTGTGCTATAGAAATTCATGGATGGGAGGAGATGGTAGGGGCTGGGGTTTGGGACTTGAAATAGGTTACGTTTGAAAGGGCAAGTTTCAGGCAATTTGTTTATTTTTGATGTATAGTCATCCTGCTGTTTTACTTGGTTTTAGCATATGATTTATAGTTATTTTGCAAGGAAAAGCCTTGTTCTTAGCTTGAGAACAATCTGATCTCTTGTGTTTCGTGCTTCACCTAAGTCACTAATAAAAGTGATGTTCTAAAAAAAAAAAAAAAAGAGGAAAGAAAGAACACCAGCTCTATAGTCTGAGACTTTGTTTCAAATAGCAACTTCATCCTTTTAATTATTAAGCAAATTACCTACTCTGAGCCCCTGATCCTTATCTATATATTTCGTACTTTGAGAACTTTGAAGAGGATTAATATGTATGCACGTTAAGGTCTTAGAATAAACTAGATGCTCACTTAAAAAATATATTTGAACCTGACAGTCTGTGTTCGATACTATCTATATGCATAAAGGAGAGGAAACCTACTGCTAACTCTCAATCAGATTATAATTTAACCTTCTAATCACTGGGAATAGAAACGTTTTTGAGATTTCTGCCTGTTGGAATTTTGAACCTAAACTGAATTGGCTGACATCACAATCCATTTCTGTTCTCAAAACACACATTCAATAACTGCCTTAATCTAAATCCTGAAATTGCATGTCCTATGAAAATCTCATTTGAATTAGATGTAGTGACTGCTGCTAGAACCATATAAAACTTGGTCGCTTTTATAAATCATTTGGGTTGCATAGAGAAAGCGATATAAATATTTTATAGCCAGTATTTCATTTATCTCTCAAAGAAAACAGAGGAACAAATCATCAAAAAACATCTCCTGTGATCAACATCATTTTTCCAAGTTTCTAGAAAAGAAGTTTTGTTTTTTTTTTTCCCCCAAAAGCGACTCTTTTACTTGGCCAAACTGCATTAATGGAGTTTTCCACGGTAATTCAGATCTCCCATTCTGTAAACAGGTTGAAAGACGATTCCGAATCACTGTTGAAGTACACGGAGGTGCAGCAACCTAACACCTTTCCAAGCACTGCAGACACCCAACCCTCAGGAATTCGGTGGCTCACAGCACCTGCGCAGCGAGGGAAACACCTGGCAGCACCGCAAGCTACGTGGTCGGAGTCCGCCTCCCTTTTCAAGTTTAGCGGGCCCTGAACTTCCCGGAAAAGCCCCCCAAGCCACCTGCTCGCTGGACAGCGACCTCACGCCCCGTTCCCACGCTCCCCAAAGGACCTAGAACGCAAGTGGTTTTGTGGACGCTACTGCGCGTGCGCTCCCGTTCTGCGCCTGCGCCCTAGTTCCGCGCATGCTCAGAGGCGAGGCGGCGGGTGCCGGGAGCATAACGGAGTCTGGCCGGCCCCGCCCCCGCCCTCAGCGCCCAGCTTCCCTTCCGCGCCCAGGTTCCCCTTCCGGGAGCGCAGGTGGCGGCCGCGGTGGTGGTGTCTTCCCCTCGGCCTGCAGCTGGCCTGCGACCATGGCAGCTGGGATGCGCGGGGCTGCCCTGCGCCTCTGCGCCGCAGGTACAGGCCTGGCGGGGGCGAGGCGGGCGGGCCTGGGCCGGCTGCGGGGCGCCGGGACACCCCTCCGCGGGCTGAGGGCGAGGAGGAAGCGGCCGGCTTCCGCTGGGTCAGGTCCTCGGGTGGCAGGAAGTCGCCGAGCGCGGGCGACATTGCAGATGGGCGTGGGGGATGCGACCTCCCCAGCCTGCAGCCACCCGAGCTTCGGTTTAGGTCCACAGTTCCGTCCTGTGTGCAGAAGGGGGCGAAGAGGGGGCGGCCCAGGACAGGACGGGCTCCGGCCGCCGGGCTGTGCAGCGTGGAAAGTGCCCGAGTGGGTGCAGCCTGGGCTCAGCCCCGCGCCCGGTTCGCTCTGGGCTGTTTTCCAGGTTCCCCGGTTCCCCGTTTCCCCGACCTGCAGATGCTGACCCGGAATATGCAGGAGCCCCGGAGCTCCATGCTCTCTCTCCTCTGTAAATTTGGGGCTAAAAAACGAAAAGGAGGAACATCTGTAATCTTTTCAACAATAAAGATAAATGAAAGAAAACAACGAATAGTATTTGGAATGGTACTTGGAGTTATACCGAGATCTTTGGTATTAGGGGGAAAAAGGAGAAACATCGAACTCTTTCTCTCTCTATTCCAAAAAGATGGCATGGGAGAAAGGGGAACTGGGATGAAAGTAAAAGCGTTATTTAAAAGGAACCCCTGTGGTTTACTAGCCTGTGACAGTACGGTTGCACCCAGAGCGAATGTTTGTGAAACACGTGAACTGTTGATGCTTTGGCATCGCTTGTGCCCTGGACTGGCTCAGTGATGAATTTTTTTGGTACGTTGTAAAAACGTCAAAAACATTTTATAGGTGACTGAGCATATGGTACAAGGCAATATAAACCAGCATTTATTGTGTATATTTTGTCTTTCTCTTTCAGTTTTGTTGCTTGATGTGGCCCTCTGTAAAGGATTTGTAGAAGATTTAGATGAATCGTGAGTATTCGTCATTTTAAGTGGTAGCTTAACTTCTTTCAACTCTGAATATTTGTACGAATCTGATCTTACAATAACGGAGACGGCACTTACCAGTTTTGTCCTAAGAGTCGTCCTGAGCGCTCTATATGTACAAGATGGGGTTGTGCTCAAAAGACTTTTACTAAGTTATAAGTTCCAAAAAAACCATGCCAGACGCATCTCTGTTGTATTTTCTCATTTCACGTGTATTTGTTAACATTTTTCTGATTTAATCGGTAAGTGGGTGCGGGAATTCAGTACCGTGTTGTGTTTTTGCTTGTTTTTACAGTCCCGCAGCGTTAATCGCAAGGTCTTGTTTACAGTAGGTGAGGAGACTGCTCCAGACCCAAACCCCGTGTGTGGTCTTTCAGGCAATTGCAAGGCTTCCCTCGCAGGCCTCGAGGGGGAAGCTGCTCTGTCCACAGTAGACTCGCGCACAGTGTCCCGCGGTCTCTGGAGGGAGTCGTTGTCATGGCCTTGGGCCTCTGGGGCCAGCCATGCTCAGATACATATCTGCATTGCAGCCAGGTTGCCTTTCTGGGGGGCCTCACCTAAGGCATTTCCTAGGCACCTCTGCAGAGACCTCCTTGAGGGGCTGAGCTGAGGCCCTTTGCTCCACGTGGACTCAGTGTCTTTCCACGCCGATCCTCCCTCTGCCCATGGGTCCATGAAGAGGCAGAAAGAAGCCTTTATTTCGGTGCTTCCCAACTGTGAGATGAACCCCTCTGTCTGTGCTGACCCACCTGCCCCTTTCTGGTGTGTTCCACTTGGGAAATGGGACACTGAGGAGCTGGCGCCTGTTTTTGCCCCTTGGCTTGCATCGTAGGAGTAAGTGATAGTAAAGCCTCAATTGTCACTTTGCCTTCGGCTCGTTGTCCTACTTAACCACCTCCACACAGCACCATTGGTGTAGCAGTGGGGGTCAGTTGAGCACAGTGCTGTTCTGGAAAAGCAAGAATCCTCAGGGTCCCAGGGGGCACTTGACCAGCCATGCCAGTGGGTACTGGGGAGTACAGCAGATAGTTTGCAGAAACTTAGATTCTGGGGGAACCATTGTCAACAGGGAGGTAATCTCATTGAACATTACTGTTGACTTCCTCCTTCATTGGCCGACAGCCATGACTTTGCCGGAGGGGGAGGAAGGGGGGACGAGCAGGCACAGACACCAAAACCCTCAGCTTCCTCAGATGGGTGCTCTGTGGACTCTGGCGGGTTCGGCCCACCATCACGCGGGGTGCAACATGTTCTGCCTGCTGTGAGTGCCCTGACCCGCTGACTGCAGGCTCTGACAAGCAGGACAGCTTTTCGTGCCACTTGGTGTCCTCTCACACCAGCTCGACCCAGGATGGTGTCTGAACTTTTGTTCCCTCGTGGATCCAGAAGGTGTCACTTGCACCCCTACTTGCTTTGGGGTCAATGACAGTTCATTTCCATGTTTAGCTGACAAGCCCGATACGCTCCTTGGTTCTGTTGCCCTTGGTCAGCGTAGGGACCTTTCTGATGAGCATCCGCGTCAGTATGAACACTCACTGGAGCAGAAACAGTCTTGGTCCAGGGATCTCATCCTCACAGGGGCTCGGTCATTAGCCACAGCCCCATGAGCCAGTGAAAACAGAGCAGTGCTCGGGGGCCGGCTTGGGAGCAGGGAGAGGGGCTGGAGAGCAGAGGGACAGGTCGCCTGCAGTCTTCCCGGCTGTGTCAGCCCCCAGCGCGAAGTCCCTCCTCCACGCTGGGTGAAGCGCAGGTGTCTTCAGGCTGCGTGGGGGGCACACCCAGTTGCATTCCAGTCGAGTTAACCAGGAGGAGCCATCATTGACCCAGAGTGGTCCAGGAGGCCGCTGTATCTGGGGCCCCACTGGGCCAGAGGAGGCTCCTTGGGTGTTATTCCCAGAGGTGGAGGGACACCCAGGAGACCTTTCTGTGGAGGTGTGGGACTCCAGCTGGGCTCCTGTGCCATTGCTGCTACACTGTAGGTTCGGAGCTGTCTCTGTTCAGCAGCATGGTTGGGATTTCTGCTCATGAGCCTACTACTGCACTCGGGCACCAAGGCCCAGCAACACGCCAGTAAGTTTCTCAAAGGGTGTGTGTCTTTCAGCCAGCTTGGGGAGCTCATGGTGCCATGCTGGCCTGCAGTGTGGTCCTGCCACAGGCGCCATCAGTGAACTGAGAGCTAAGGACACGTGCAGCCCAAATAGAGGGTGCAGGTCCCTGGGATCCAGGAGAAGAAAGTCCTGGCGGCCTGCTGGAGGGCCCCCAGGGTGTCCTCTTGCTTGGGACCCCACACAGAGTCAGTGGCCCTCTGATAATCTGCTACATGGGTGCTGTCAAGATCCCCCACATGGGTATGTGACGGCATCAGCAGGTGAATAGGCCCATCAGTGCCTGGACCTCCTTCCAGTTTGGGGGGTTGGAAGGGCCAGGAAGACAGCAGCTATTCTCATAAAACCTTGTTGGCTCAGCGTAGGACCAATGAGTCACCATTATCAGAAGCTGAAATGCAAGTTTCCAGAGGCCAACCAAGGACAACCAGAGACAACAAGTTTCCCAGGGATGGCAGCCTCAGGCGTGCTGGGCTGGCGGTAGTGCCAGGTGCACGCGGAGCAGAGGAGGAGGCACTGAGCGTGTGTGTTTCTGCCAGACGCCACTTCACGACTTCGCCGTTCTCTGCTTTGATTACTGTGTTAGTGGATAAGGTACAGAGGTCATTGAGCAAAACGTCTACGAAAACATTGACTGAAAGAGTTTATTCCATGCTCCTATAGAAATCAGTTGATTATCCCCACCTATGCTGTTCATTGGAAACATACAAAGACTTGTTCTCTTGTTTTTTAGGTTTAAAGACAATAGAAAAGATGACATTTGGCTTGTAGATGTGAGTATATAATTTTTTTATACTAATTAACCACCCCTGCAAGTTGAAGTGTTATTGTCTGTTCTCCTGTACCCAAATGTACATAGTTAGCACTGAGGTCTATTACTCAATTTGTTTCGTAGGTAGTACTGTTTGGGTTTTTATGTTAAAATGAGCCTCAGAGCCGTAGGGTGCCTGGGAAGGACCCTGATTTTGATGAAGTTCTGACGAGATCAACTTGTGGATTGTGTCTGAGGGAGGTTGTGGTATGATTTTATTACAGAATGCACTCAGTTTTGTCATGTTATACAAGAGAGTGTGGGTATTAATCAGCAAAGCATATTCCATGTTAATAGTGAACCAAGTCAGATTGTCTTCCCTTTCCTCACTTTCGGGCGTGGACGGGATTCAGACCTCGCGGTGTGGGGTTCATTTTCCCAGGCCTCTGAGAGTAGGGTGACAGCAGGAGGGACGACTCACGGCAGCAGAGTGGCGCTTAGCGAAGCCAGGCCACGGGGCCCGAGGCCACTGTGCGCTTCTCTCTCCCGTGTGGTGAGCGTTGCCACACTGCATCGTTCACAGATAGATGGATGTGTTTCGTGGAAGTACGACAAGCAGTTTCTTACACCGTTTAACCCAGCGCCACTAACACCCCAGGCGGCTGGTGACTTGGAAGGAGGAGGAAGTGGGGTTTTAGTTTCAGCAGCCTGACTTGTCCCTTTGCCAGACCTGTCATCTTGCTGGTCTCCGGCATTTCATCAGTGGTTACACTTGAAGACGCAAAGGCACCTGCCGTGCGGGAGTTTTTGTAGTAGAAATAGAATAACGTTTACCATGGGCGCGTGCGGGGTGGGCACGTGACGGCTGTGCTGTATTTGGTGGGCTCATTCTATACATGACACAGGCACCCCACTTGGGAACAAAGAAGCTTTTATTGTAACTCATGTATCTGCTTTAAATACACATCAGGAGTGATTTAAAATTATCTTAAAGTCATGTTGAGGTATATGCTAGGAGTTAACCTGTCTGGTTTATGTGTGTGTTTTGTTATGTTAACCAATTCGAAAATTATATTTAGACTTTTTTGTTTGTTAAAACAGATTATCATCAGATCATTTCGTCATAGAGATTCTTTAAAAATTGAGGTCGCTATCCACAGTAACACAGCATTTTTAGTGGTTGTTTTGTTTTTGTTTTTAACAAGTTTTATGCACCATGGTGTGGTCACTGTAAAAAACTGGAACCGATTTGGAATGAAGTTGGTCTTGAGATGAAAAGCATTGGTTCGCCAGTTAAAGTGGGAAAGATGGATGCTACTTCCTATTCTAGTAAGCATTTACTCAGTTTACTTTTTAACTCTTCTCCTAATGAAAATGTTTAAATTATGCGAAGCAGTGTTGAAGGTAGGAGGAAGAAATGTATCTGTATTTGTGCTCATGTAAAATTAACCGTGTCTGAATTTAAAGCTATACTTTATGAGCTAAATGAGGTAACCATGAAATGTGTAATGTGCAGTGTATGTTAACCTTCAGCCTAGGAGAGATGTGTAAGCCCTTGTTTCTATGTTGAGCCCACCTGAGATCATCAACAACCTGAGACAAGCATAGAAGCCGGAGCATTTAACCAGTGCTGTTGCTGTGTGGACTGAGATGCGAGTGTGCGGTGGGAGTGTTCTGAGATGGCGTGGGAGAGGAGGGAATGGGAACGCGAAGGGCGAGTTGAATTAGGATAAATTCAAGTGAGGGTCAGGAAAGTATTTACATAGAGAATATCAGAGCAAAATCATAGAGCTGGGAATGAGCTTTCTCGCTACGCACCAGAGAGAGATGGTCTTAAAGAGGAGGCTGGCACACTGGCCAGGATGCAATCGGGGCACCACCTGGTTTCGTAAGAGCAGCTCCGTCGGAGCAGAGCACACTGGCTTGTTCGCTCTCGTCCGTGGCTGTCTTCGTGTTCCCGGGCCAGAGTAAGTAGTTGTCACAGAGACTGGACCTCCACACCTGAGACGTCTGTTTTACGACCCTGTACCAGAAAAGCTACCAATGCCTATCTTACAGGATTTGGGAAAAGACAAAATTAAGTTTAGAGAAGTATGAGGTATCGTAGAAATTTGGAAAGAGCATGGCTTCAGCAAGCAGTCCTGAGTCGGATCCTGGCTCTGCTGTATATATGCACTTATATATACACACACACACACACATACACACTGTCATGTGTACATGTATATACACGTTTGCTGCAGAGCACCAGGAAAGTTTCTTAGTGCCTCTAACTTTGATTTTCAGTCTGGTGCATTGTTGTCGTAAGGCCTCGGATTGGTTGCTCTGAGGTTTCCGTGATGTAGCACCTGTGAAGTCCCTTGTAGTAGTCAGTACTTTGAGGCTCCCTTTTCCTTTAGTCAGTGAAGGAAGTGGAAGTGTGTCATGTGTATTTCATTGTAGAAAGTCAGTGTTGGATTCTGGGTCCAGTTTTGGAACAAGACAGGCCTCTGTTTTCATCCCAGCTTGGCCACGTCCTACTTTGGTGGCTTCGGGACGTGCCGAATCCCGTAGTTTCCGTGTCCTGGTCTGTGAACAGAAGACTGCCAACCCTCTGCACTGTGCATGAGGAGAACCTTCGCTGCCGTGGCCACAGGTGTGAGGCGCCCAGGGCGCGGCGGGATGTTGAGGCCCTCAGGCGGGGAGTGTTCAGGTTTTATCAGTGGTCGGTTGAGAGGCAGCGCGTGTGGGAGAAGGCCAGTGCCTGCTCACGCGGGGTGGGGAGAAGGGAGAGCCCAGAAAAGCCTCCCGGCCGACTGTGTGCCTCTCGGTGTGGGGGGCGGGGGGGGGCGGGCTTGGGTGGGGGTGCTGGAGTAAGAGGAAGCAGTAGTAATTCTCAGGTGTTTTAAAGGGTGAAATCACAGATGTGATAGATTAGCTCTGGGCATAAAGAAGAACAATGGAAAATAATAGTATCAGATTCTTAGCATAGTTACTGAACTACACCACCCCTTTTTCGTGGAAAAGAGCACGAAATTTGATGATTGCACGTGCATGTTGACCGCTGTTTTGAATTTGTGGTATTTTGCTTTGTTGATGTTTAAGAATAGGGCATGAGAGTCAGGTAAGATGTTAGAGCCGGAATTATTGTCACACAAATGAATTGTTGAAACTGCGAGGAGAGACCAAATGGCAGGAAGTTGCTGTAGGGAAAGGTGGAATAATATGCTCGAGTTGATATTTCTTGAAATGAGCTTTAAACAAAGTTTGAGAAATTACTCCTTTCAGCTGTTGCTCATGAAAGTAAATTATTGTGTCTACACTTTTATGTTGATTAGACATGCAGGCATATACATACGTTTATTCACGTAGTCATTCATTCATAGTCACTCAGTCAATATTTGCTTACTACTGTTTGGCAAGTCTTGTGTTGTCTGTAGAAATTAAAGAACCAAACAAATCCTTCCTGTCCGGGAAAAGCTTGCAGGGTAATGGAGGGAGAGGAACAAGCCGGCAGTGCGACCAGGTCGTAAGCGCACTCCTGCAACCCCTGAACCACGCGTTGGAGGAATGGGGGGAGTGTAAAGGAATGTGGGGTAAGGGTGATGAGAGAAAGTACGTACATCAGTAACCATCTTAATGGTGAACTGCTCATGTGATGCTACAGTGATGATTAATAGTTTACAGTATGTCAAAGAAATTATAGTGTCTAATTCATTAGCTTATCATTCAGTAGTTAAGTGTCCCTATGTGCTCCTGTTAAGTGGCATGAGAATTGGAGAAAAGTAGCAAAGACTTTTTTCCTGAGTAGCTTAGAGAAGAAAGTATTTTAAATACTGTGACTAAAGCAATTTTCTTATAGGTTTTAAGACTTCATATACAATTTGTTGCTTTTTAAGGTACTTTATGATAGGACAGTTTCTTCATTTCATTTTCATAAGTCATTAAGAGGTTTAAATTTTGCCTCTGATTTTGTTTTCTTTTAATCCTCACTTGAGGATATTTTTCCATTTATCCTCAAACAGAGTAGGAGAGAGTGAGAGAGAAACATTGATGTGAGAGAGACACATTGATTGGTTGCCTCCCAAACGACCCCGACCAGGGCCAGGGAGCCAGCCACAACCAAGGTATGTGCCCTTGATTGGAATTGAACCCATGACTCTGGTCCGTGGGCCAACTATAACTGTTGAGCCAAACCAGCCAGGGCAGATTTTATTTCTTGTTCACTCAGTGTTATACGTTGTGTTGAATTAAGTGGAGGAAAAACCTCTATAAAGGTGGCATTGTATGAAATGTAGAGATTAACACCTGAAGCAAACCTGTGGCTTGAGGAAGAGGGAAGGACAGAGGCTTCATTGACTTTCTCTCCTTTACTCCTTGGCTGTGGAATACTAATCCTCCCCCCTTCTCCCACCCAGCACCCCAAGGTGAGGCTTGTTATAGATTCTGTGACTGCTTGAGTCACACTAAGAGCTTATTGAAAAGTCCTTCTTCTGTTGACACATGTGGAGGAAGCATTCATTCAGCAGGTGATTAATGAGTGCTCACCGTGTCCCAGGGTATGCCAGACACGTTCCAGGCATCGGTGATACATGAGTGAGCAAGAGACAAAAACCTGCCCTCATCAATAATCAACAAACATTAGTAAATGATGTGGTAGTTCTTAGTGTTTGGTATTAGTGATGGCTTCAGTTTTCATTTTATTATAGAGTCAAGGGCATGTTTTATATGCTGTGGAGAAAAAAGTGTAGTTTAGTATCTAAAAAAAGTTGATTAGTATTCAAGAATTATTATCGAGAGATGATCAGTAGATTATTGGCATATGATTCTTAAAGGCTCCTTAAATACTTCAGGGCAGCGCCGGGCAGGCATTTTAGTGGAACTTGGAATCTACGAGGAGAGGAAATCGACTTCCTTTTCCGGGCCAGCTGCCAGCAGGTTCCACGTGCAGGGGAGGCCTGGAGGACGGCTGTGTCCTGGCTGTCTCTCCCATCCCCCAGCCTGCTCTCAGGCCATCACGGCAGCAGGTTCCACATGTCGGGGAGGCCTGGAGGGCGGCTGTGTCCTGGCTGTCTCTCCCGTCCCCCCGCCTGCTCTCAGGCCGTCACGGCCACAGTCTCCGAGTACAGTCTGCACACCGCCTGTGCTGGTCACGGGCTCATATCAGCTCAGTTCCAAAGGCCACAGCGGCCCCACTGAATGGAAGTCTGGTTGGGTGGTTGGGGCATGAGAGCCTGCGTTTACCTGGGGTTCAGGTGAGCCGGCTGCAGCCTGAAGTTGGAGGATCACAGAGTCGAGGCTGATTTTGATGACCGGTCACCTGTGGGAGTTCGGAGTGGGGTGGGTAGGCTCAGTGGGTGGGCAGTGTGGCATCTCTCAGTACTCGGGTAGCCTGTTTCTCGGCCACGCAGGTGCAGCGAGTGGGAGCCAGTGCCGTCACGCTCAGCCCGCAGACGTCTGCGGAATTCTGGAACTAGAGAAATCCGAACTGCCACGATTTGTTCTGCCTGTGTGCTTGGAATTCACCCACATTTCTTGCTGCATTAGAACACTATAACCAGAGAGCACGAACAAGATGTGTAATGTCTTGTGTACATTCAGATATGTATTTTAGCCTCTCTCTCTGTACATGTACCTTCAAAATGAGTGCTGGAATTGTGCCTTGTTCAGAATTTAAGATGGGTCTGATATCAGCTGTAATGATGGGTTGATTTTTATTCTGAAACCACTGAAATTCTGTTTATTCCTCAACCTACGTGTGACACGGTTTTATGGTAAAGATCGTACTCTGCATCTCTTTGATGTGGAAACGTGTAGTGGCCTCTGGCCAATAACATCTGTATTCTGACTCCTTGTTCACAGATTGTGTTTGTAAATAATTTTACCTTTCTAAGTTATAAGCCCTCTGGTCACTGACTACTTCACGGCTGCTCACACTTAGCACTAGTGTATTCGGGGCCAGATACTTGGGGAGAAGGAGTTCCTATGTGTGGCAGGATGTTCAGCAGCCTCCCTGCCCCCCCCCCCCCCCCCCAGTGCCTGCAGCACTGTCCCCCGCCCCGGTGGTGGCCTGAGGTTTCTCCTCACAGCCCAGCGGCCCCTGGAGACAGACCCCTCTCATTCCTTCACGTCAGACGCATGGTGACCCCAGGGCTAGGGAACACTGCATTTTGAAGCTGAGAAGGGCATAGAATTGAGTTGAGCTCCTGCTTCTTCCTCCCATTGTCTAGATGAGGTGACGGAAGGTAATTAGAGGTGAAGTGACTTTGAGTGATTCAGTCACCAAAGGTAGAGGCAGAACCAAGATCACCACCACCCCTCCCAGCCCCCCTGCCCCTTCAGTTGTCACTTCAAAGAGAAAACAGTGACACAGGGACTTCCCGTCCCACTCAGTTTATGAACATTCGAGATAAATTATCTAATTGATCTAAGTTCACACGACAGTTCAGAGGCTGGACTGCACCTTCGGAACCCGAGTTCTTATTTCCGTGACCTCTGCTGTTTGTGTCGCCCCTGATGACACCCACCGTCTGCCCTTTCCACGTTGAGGAGAGAAGCTCGGGGGGACAAAGGAAGACAGAGATTTGGGATGTTATTTTGCCACAAATTTGCTTTGCTGTTAATTCTCCTGTATTGGGGGCAGTGATTTGAAACCAAAGCTTAATAGTAACGAAAGTGATTGGTAAACCAGGCCCACATGTAGAAGTAGTTTCCTGATACCCGGCTGTGATAAGAAAATATCTTGGGAATAAAGAAAACGAACCAATGGGGAGACCATGTCAGTAAATGCCGTGTACTTTATATATACTAGCGTAGTTGTGTAAATATATTGTATATAGTTTGTTAACTATGAATACTTTACTTTTTCTTTACTGTCCTAGTTGCCTTGAATCTGTGAAGTAATGTAGTATTAATTTGCTATTTTGATTTCTATAATTCTTAAAGTCCTGATTCTCTATTTGCTTATTTTTGTTAGTATTTCTTCTTTCCCTTAAAAAGATGCAACTGTGTCTCATTTTAACCTGAAGGTTTCAGAATAATCTTTGTGATAGTTAGAATTATTCTAGATTGTTACAAAACCTTGTGGGTTAAGTTGCTTTTAGATCATATTGACTGTAGAAAGTAAATAATTTTGCAGATATTACTTATGTTTTTAAAATTAAAATACAATGCAGTTTTTTTAAGACTCAGAAAACATTAAAAGAAGAAGAGATGGGCCTTTTTTTAAATTTTATGAAATATTTGTCCTGGAAATGCAGTCAAATGAGACTTTATTTATATATGTGTTTATAAATATATACATATTTTAGAACAGCACTATCTTTTAAATAAGTACTTTAGAAATAAATTTTAACGGTTCTTTTGGCACTCATTTTTTATTTTGTCACAGTAGTTTGTGCAGGCTCTAGGTTAGATCGTTAAGTATTTTGTATGAGAATGTCATGTTTTTTCTTTTTGGGTGTAAGTTTATATTCTTTTTAGACACAAAACAGCTTATCTATATAAATTTGTATAAATATATCTATATATTTTTTAAGTAAAAAGGCTCATTTATTACCTAGTTTCTCATTTTTAAAAAAAATTTAGAATTATTTATTCTTTTTCTTATCAAGGCATTGCTTCAGAGTTTGGAGTTCGAGGTTATCCAACAATTAAGCTGTAAGTTGAGTGTTGTATGTTTATATGTGTATTTTTATTAGTTCACTCTACTTACGTTTTATTAGATTAAATTCTAGTAGCTTCCTTGGAGGATTGAGGATTTGGGCTCAGCAATTCTTTCCAGGTGCAGTGTGTGATCAAAGGAGAGGGACTACATCTTTATGCTTGTTTTGTATTTAAGTGAATGCATTGCTCATGGCTCATTCACTAAACGTGATTTGACTATGACGGGCACCGTGCAGGACGAGGTGTGTAGTTGTAGTGATAGGAGGTCTTGTGCCCTGGAGCAGCTCAAGAGTGTATTTCTGCTTTGTCACGTGAATCCTGTCTCCTAACAAATTTACTTTTCTATAATTCTGATAGACATTTCATTAGAGATGAAAGAAACAAAGAATCAAATTTATGGATGTTAATTCTCATCTGTAGGTGTTGATCAAGTCTGACATCGAGTGTATGAGTTGGAAGAAATGGTGTGATAATTCTAAAGGGCTTGTTTTGTATTATCATTTTACTGAAACTTCTCACGCATTTCGTCCATGTCCTTATTTTGATAATATGGGGAATTAAATTGTTTAGAAACTTATTTTTATAATAAAGTAAATTTTTATTTCAGTATTTTAAAAATTCAAATTTCAAAATTTGAGTAATTATTTTTTATTTCTTGGGTTTTGTGTTGGTCTCCCCTCTTCCCCCACTTTTTAAATGTTTGCTAAACCTCTTTTACTTTCTTGTGTTACGTAAGTTATCCTTTCTATTTTTATTTAATTTTAGATGCTCTGGTCTTTCACAATTTTTTCCTTTTAATCTGTTAGTTGGACACATAATTCATTGGCTGGCATTTAGAAAATTATCTAACTTTCTACAAGAGATGCATTTTACTCTGTGATCTTGGAGCATCCATCAAGTTACTGTGATGTTGTAGTGCTTAAAATCTGTTTCACCACCATCAAAACACTGTTAATACCCTGGCCTTTTACTTGCCTTTTAAAAGAGAAGACAGTGAGAATTATAATGCTTTGACCAGTTCTTGACCATGATGTGTAGCTTATTCATTATTTAGATGGCATAGATACAGTGCAACTATCAAATACACAGTACATTATTTTCATGTAATTTTAACAAATCACAGCCTTTTTTTTATATTTGGAGTTGCTGGTACCCTGGAGCCAGTTGTCTACCGTATATTACATGGTTATGCTACTTCTTCTAAATCTCTCCACGTATGACTTTATATACTGCACTTTCATGCAATAGTAGAGAATGTTCAGCTTTCAATATTGAAACAGTTGAAATAATCCAAGCTTTTTCCTTTTGTTCTTCCTTTTTAAGATTAAAGGGGGACTTGGCGTATAATTATAGAGGACCACGGACTAAAGATGACATTATTGAGTTTGCTCACAGAGTATCTGGGTAAGTTTTTACTAGGAAGGGCGTTTAATGTATGATACCAATATCTGAACATTGAACGTATTTGTATAGAGTGTTATTGAAGGACTTCGCCTGAATAAAATGTGTCCCTCCGTTTATGAGAGAACAGGGTTAGTAGAATGTGCAGAGGCTTTGGAAAGAAAAGGGAGGGTCTGTGATTTGTATTACACACTTGTTAACCTAACACTTAAATTTATTTACAGCATAGAATAATTTTTCTCCCAATTTCTAATTCATTTTCAAAATCTGAATAATTCTAACTTGTGAATCTTAATTTTTATTTTATTACAATTTTGTTTTTGTTTTTACATCACTTTATTTTTATCGTTAACCTAATTTTAGAGTCTTAAGAGAAACCTCACCATATTATCATTCTGAATAGACTTGGGCTTTTAATCCCGAGGCTGTGATAATGGAAACTGCATCTTAGACACAGCTCCATACGTGCCCTGCCCCGTCCCCCGCTGCTCTGTGTCGGCTGCGAGGCGTTCCTGCACATCTGCCTGGAATGCGACACGGTTAGAACCCAGATGGTCCCATCAGCATTTCCTGTTGGTTCGAAAGTAGTTATTTTGTTTTTTAACCTACACTTTGCTAGGTATAAAGAAAGTTGGTATTTATAATTATTAGTGATTATGTACAACTTTTTGAAGAGAATATTCATCACGGTAATTTAACCTGTGTTGACTTTGAAAGTATACGCACTTTCCTATGAGTTACAGGACATATTATATTGATAACTGAATAGCTTTGAAGTACATGGAAATATTGAGAAGGCTTTGATGGGTGGCATGATGCCATCCAGCTTGCATTATTTGAGGAAAGGTAAAGAATTGGAAATGATCTTTATATATTAAAGTTTACAAAGCTTATTGATGTAATTTTCACAGTGCACATTTTATTGTCTGTCTCTGCTTTGTGAACAAGTAAGCCTCGGGGTAACTTTATATCATACGAGGGGAATGCCAGTAGATTTTACTTTATTCCCCCATGACTTGGAGTAGTCTTTATGTTTTAGCCATTTTTACTGTTTTAGCTTAAGCTGAAGAAGGGCTCTGCTGAGGTAACCAGGGTGACTGACTGCAGGGAAATCTCAGGAGTCCGCCTGGAGTTGCATCGCTTGCGGGTAATCACTCCGGCAGAAGTAGGGCCGGAGCGATGCAGTGGGGCCCACGTGCATCGCTTGCGGGTAATCACTCCAGCAGAAGTAGGGCTGGAGCGATGCAGTGGGGCCCACGTGCATCGCTTGCGGGTAATCACTCCGGCAGAAGTAGGGCTGGAGCGATGCAGTGGGGCCCACGTGAATCGCTTGCGGGTAATCACTCCGGCAGAAGTAGGGCTGGAGCGATGCAGTGGGGCCCACGTGAATCGCTTGCGGGTAATCACTCCGGCAGAAGTAGGGCTGGAGCGATGCAGTAGGGCTCACGTGCATCGCTTGCGGGTAATCACTCCGGCAGAAGTAGGGCTGGAGCGATGCAGTGGGGCCCACGTGCATCGCTTGCGGGTAATCACTCCGGCAGAAGTAGGGCTGGAGCGATGCAGTGGGGCCCACGTGAATCGCTTGCGGGTAATCACTCCGGCAGAAGTAGGGCTGGAGCGATGCAGTAGGGCTCACGTGCATCGCTTGCGGGTAATCACTCCGGCAGAAGTAGGGCCGGAGCGATGCAGTGGGGCTCACGATGCAGTGGGGCTCACGATGCAGTGGGGCTCACGTGCATCACTTGCGGGTAATCACTCCGGCAGAAGTAGGGCTGGAGCGATGCAGTGGGGCCCACGTGCGTTTCGGAAGTGGTTGCCTTGCAGGCTGTGCCTTGTTCTTTCACCACTGGGGTGGGGTCAGCAATCAGACAATGTAGGCACATTTAAACGAAGATTGCCACTGTTAGTTTTGTAATATTTTGTAAGTGATATGTTTTGTAATTACCTTTGATGTAATTTCTTAGTCTCCTTGGTTTGAAATATGCTTATATAATAAAATCTTTGTACCATTTTGTTTTCATTTTATGATTTTCTTATGTACTATTATGACTACCATTTTCCATTTTATTTTTCCTAAAAAAATAACATACTTATGAAAAATGTTTTATTTTAATCTCTATTGGACATTTTAAAACTGGCATTTAAATGGACAGCATAAGATGTAAATATTCTTAATATAGTATCATAATTCCCAGGACAGTATTTCACAGTGGAATTGTGGATGCTATATTTTTATTATATGGGTATAATAGTGCTCATGGGCTATAGTTTTATTAATGTGGATTGGGTGATACACTTGAAATGCAGTTAATATAGCATTTAAGATTTTTTTAAATATGTTTTTATTGATTTTTTTAGAGAGAGAGAAACATTGATGTGAGAGAGAAGCATCAATCGGCTCCCTCCTGCACGCCCCACACTGGGGACCACGCCCGAAACCTGGGCATGTGCCCTGACGGGAATTGAATCGGGACCTCTCAGTCCACGGGACGACGCGCAATTCACTGAGCCACACTGGCCAGGCAGCACTTTAACTTTATAAATTTAGACATACTGGGCTATCATATAAATAGGGTTGGTTGGTTTTGTCTTTCGTTCAAATGCACGTTCACTTTGGTTTGTTGTTTTCAAACAGAGCTCTCATCCGGCCACTTCCAAGTCAGCAGATGTTTGAGCACATGCAGAAGAGGCATCGTGTGTTTTTTGTGTACATAGGTGGAGAGTCACCTTTGAAGGTATCCAGTGATTTTATTTTATTTTATTTTTTATTTTTATTTTTATTTATTTATTTTTTTAATCCTCACTCGAGGACATTTTTCCATATTTTGTTCAGATGGAGTGGGAAGGAGAGAGAGAGAGAAACATCGACGTGAAAGGGACGCATCGAGTGGCCGCCACCCGCACGACCCAACCAGGGCCGGGGACAAACTGCAACTGAGGCACTTGCCCTTAGCGGGAACCGAACCCGGGTCTCTCGGGACCGCAGGCCGACGCTCTAACCGCTGAGCCAAACCGGCCAGGGCAATGATTTTATTTTTTTAATCCAAAGACACAAACGTAATTTATATGTTCTATATAGTCAAAACTTCAACAAAGACTCAAATGACTTCACTCTTTTTGGAAATAATTTAGTTCATTCTAAGTATTTTTATAATAAAAATGCTTTCCTCTCTATATATTCTCTATAGTGTGTACCTTCATGAAACAAAATTGAATAAAACGTGGGCAAGTGTCACTTGCCTCAGTATTTCTTCTATTATTGACCCGGTTAAATTTTTTAGCATTTTGAACCTTTGAGACTGAAAAATGTATTTTGAATATAAATTTTTCAAAGGCAAAAAAAATCATTGCTTTAGATTATTTTATATATGCGTGTGTCTGCACACACGTTCCTTTCGATACTCATCAGACTGAATGAGTGAATGTGAACTGAGCATGTGGTGTAGTTTTAAACTATTTGGAGGAGTAGAAAACACTCAGTCCTGGTGGTCGTTTGCCAGACAGACAGTCCGTTTCACTTACTGTCTGTCTGTCTGTCTGTCTGTCTGTCTGATCACACAAGGCCTCAGGGCAGCAGGTTGTGGTGACGCTGCCCGGTGAATGGCTCAGCCTGCTCTGATGGGTACCAGGGAGCTCAGTCTAGTCTAATACTTAAAGTCACCTTCTTTGTTTGTATTTTCACAGGAGAAATACATAGATGCTGCTTCAGAATTAATTGTATATACATACTTCTTTTCTGCCTCAGAAGAGGTGTGTCCTGAGGTAATATTTAAAATACACCTTTAATACTTAATTTTAATCTTTAACTTATTACTTGATTTTATCTGTAAGATTTATTAACTGTGATATGTGTGAAATCAGTAAACATGTTCACTCTTTTCTACTGGTACCAGATTGCTCATTGTTTTTTTATTTTTTTTCTTTATTGATTTTAGAGAGAGAGGAAGGTAGAGGGAGAGAGAGATAGAAACATCGATGAGAGAGAACATCGATTGGCCACTTCCTGCACGCCGCCCACTGGGGATTGGGCCCAGAACCTGGGCATGTGCCCTGACTGGGAATCGAACCAGCGACCTCTTGGCACGTGGGTCCATGCTCAACCACTGAGCCACACCTGCCAGGCCAGATTGCTTGTTAATAAGCAAATATCACTAGATTGTAGTATTTAGGCCTCATTATTATTATTATTTTGACATCAGTGCTTTTTTTTTCTCTTTAAAATACTGGCAGTAATTGGAGGTGATACTCATACCCTTAACTGGTTGGGAAGTAGTGGATTTATTTATGTGTATCTGTAGAGGAGATGACTGTTCTCACCCTTGATCATGGGCATGCACTGTGTAAGCCCTGCTGGATGACAGCCCGTGGTCGGACCCTGGCTCGTTGGAGCTCGCGTGCCCCTGCCAGCAGGTGTGGACTTAGTGTTGCAGTGAGGTCCTCTGCTGGGTCTTCAGACAGAGGCAGTGGTCCTTAGTCAGCAGATCTATGACAAGATATCATAACTGCTATGAAAATAAAGGAGCAGGTTAATTGTGGGGGCATTTAGAGGTAGGGTGGTAGCTCTGGACTCGTTGATCAAGAAATGTCAATCAGAAAAATACATTTGAACTGGAACTTAGATGGTAGGAAGGAGCCACGCAGAGACCTGTGGCCAGAGGAAACCAGAAATTGGAAACAGATGTTGCAGATGCTCGCGATGAGAACACACCTGGCACATTGCAGGAGCAGAGCAGTGGGCCCGTGCGGTCGTCATGCACTGAGAAAGGAAGGAGCCCGTGGAGGTGTTGCAGGTCACGGCCGGTCATGTGAGCAGTCGAAGTTGGTGAAGGACTTGGTCTCATGCTCATTCTAAGGACATGACTCTGCCAGGTGCAGAACGAATTGGGTAAGGATGAGAGTAGGTCCAGAGAGGTCTCGAACTGCCGCAGCAGCACAGGAAGCTTGGGCTTGAGGTTAGTAAGAGGATTGGGGAGAAGTGAAGGAATTATGCTTCGGAAGGAGGATCGCCGGAGCTTCGGATGGGAGGGAAAGGGAAGAACCAGGGATGACTTAGGGTTTCGTTGGAACAACTGGGTAGATGGGTGTTTTATGAGCTTGGGCTGTTGCAGAAGGAACAAGTTGGGGAATGGGGCGTGATGAAGAGTTTTGAATTGTTCAGTTTAATTTGATTCAGCATATTAGACGTCCAAGTACATGCATCAAGTGTGGAGTTGGGTCTGGGGGTCTAGGGTAAAAGCTGTATAAACAAACTCCTTAAGCACTGCATGCGAACTTTTAAGGAAGTGAGAGGCCGGAGCTAAATCAGAAGGAAGGAAGTCACGAGTCAGGAAGCCAAGGGCGAAGGGACCACGCTGAGGGGAAGAGAGGCACTGTGTTTGTCCACTTGGAGGTTGGTCGTTTTAAGAGAAACACTCAGGTTCGGAGTAGTGGGGACAGGGACCTCGTTGGTGCCATTTGAGAGAATGCGGGTGAGACACTGAAGGCCACAAATACACACTTCTCTTCAGTCCAGTGTTTCTGAGTAGGGGACCCGAGATGTTTGGCAGTGACTGAGGGAAAAATGAAATAAATTAAGGAAGCTTTTTCTCTTTAATCAGTACAAGTTATAAAAATCAAAACAATTTTTTTCACAAAGGTCTATCATACACGTTTGTTTACTTTTTGTTTAATATATTTTAATATTTTGACTCTGGCCGATGCGGCTCAGTGGTTAAAGTGTCAGCCTGCACACCTAAGGGTCGAGGGTTCAATTCCAAGTCAGGGGCACCTACCTGGGTTGCAGGTTCGATCTCAGCCCTGGTCGCGGCACATGCAGGAGGCGACCAATCGATGAATCTCACATCAGTGTTTTTCTCTCTCTCTCTCCCTCTCACTGTCTCTCCCTCCTCCTCCATCCCTCCCTTCCACACTGTCTAAAAATCAGTGGAAATATATCCTTGGGTGAGGATTCACAACAATAAAAAAATAAAAATATCTATTTATTTTGTTTGTTTCAAGGTTACAGAGTTACCTAGAGTGTGTGTTTAATGCTTCCTGTAATATGTACATAGATGTTTATCTTAGAAATATGTATTCTGAAATGATTTTCAGCTCCTTGGGAACCTCCGACAGTGTCCGGTCAGCTTACACTCATTTGGGTTTCCTTAGTTGGTCTAAGAAGTTATTTTGCTGTACTTTATGTGTACGCTTTACTTTGAGTTAGGAGGGGAAGATCGGGAGGAAGATTGGCCGCACTTGCCATCCGATTCTAAAGCAGATGCCTCCAAGGTTATGAACCACTATTTTGGAACATCTCAGGGTTTACTGATGTGATATGAAGGCCTAGAATGAGCAGAACTAGAACTTCTACTAGACGTGCACGGACCACATCTTAGTATTGGAAAGGGAACTCACAGGCCCTCGTCTGCGCAGCTCTCCACGCAGCCTCCCTTGGAGTGCACCAGGGGGCGCTCTGCCTCCCCGGCCCCAGCACCACCAGCACCTGTCCGTCCCTGCTGAGCCATCAGATGTCTTAGGTGGGCTTCCCTAGCCTAGCAAGTGGGTGGGCCCGGGCAGCACCTGCTCCGTGGGCACTCTTGGTTATAAGGTATTATTTTTTATGACTAGCTTTCTCAACTGGTTTCTTTAGCTTTCTTTGATTATTACTGCAAATATCAATATTTGTCATCTCTTTTTTAGTTCTGAGTATGTGGCTGCTAAAGTCTGTTCAGGGAGTAATAGTTATTTCAAAGTAATAGGAGGATGTTTATTTCCATAAAGAATTCCCAAATAAGGCCAGGCTGCTGTGGTTCAGTGGTTGAGCTTAGACTCATGCACCGAGAGGTCGCCAGTTCGATTCCCGGTCAGGGCACACGCCCAGGTTGTGGGCCTGATCCCCAGTGGGGGGCGTGCAGGAGGCGGCTGATCGAGGTTCTCTCTCATTGATGTTTTCATCTCTCCCTGCCTTTCCCTTCATCTCTCTCTAAAATCAATAAAGAAAACAAAATAAAAAAATAAAAAAGAATTCCCAAACAAGGACAGAGCCCATGATTTTATGTTCTTGCCATGTTTTGAATTTTAATGTGTGGTCATGCAAAGCTTCCTTAGCTTTACAACTGATATTTATGAACCTCAGTGAGTGTAGTAAGAGGATATAAAGGTGAATTCAGACATTTCTAACTTCAGGATATTTAAAGATGAATGGAGAAGATGTTCATGCGGGCAGAAAACTGTAACAGAAGAGAGAGTTTAGAGAGCACAAGGGAAGAGGAGGGACTGAGAACATGTGGGGACAGGGCTGCAGGCTTCAGCTGCTGGACTGTTTCGGGGTGGCCTTGGGGACGGGCTCGAGAGAGGTGCTGGTGGCACACGTACTTGCGGCAGGGCTGCCAAGGGTGGACAGAGGCATCTTGATGGCAGAGTGGTACCTAAGCTTTACCCCTGCCCTTGGTCTACCCATTTCCTGGTGCTGACCTTTTAGTAGTGATGTGGCCAGAGCCCTCCGTGCTGCCTGAGATGTGCCCTCTCCCCTTCTTACTCCTTAAGCTTTCCAGGATAGCTGCTTTTATTTTGATTGATGTTATTTTATTAGTTACCTACGGATTTATTTATTTACTTTCAGTATTACAACACTTGTAATAACCGTGTGGCTTATTCAAATTATATTTCTTCTGCTCAATACTGATTTCCCTACAATAACCTTACTATTTTGAAATGATTACAACATAAGTGTAGGAAGCAGCTACCTTCTGAATGAATCCCTTGTTAATTACCATAAGTTCCCTTCTATAAAGCACTTACAGTTTCATCCTGCTCTACGTATGTTAGCCGGTCCAGCCCCTAACTCGCTGTGAGGCGGGGGCTCAGGGTCCTCGCTATTCAGGGAGGAAGCTCGTCCCAGTGAGGGACTGGACCCTGCCTGTGCTGGTGGATGCCTGGGCCCGGCTCTTCAGCCTCTGTCCGTTATCCCATGACGTCCTTGGGTGTGCTCTCAGCCCGGAGGGACTCCCACAGTCATTACGTGGCAGGCAGGGCGCCGTGCAGGCGACGGGTACGCGGAGACGTCAGACCCTGTCCTTGGACGCACCTTGATTCACTGTGCTCTTTAACTGGAATAATTTTGTCATTAGGTTTTTGTTTCCCTAGCATCCTTTAATTAGAAATCACAGCTACCAGTTGAAAATGTATAATGACAAGATTCTTTACACGTCTGATCTCTGCAGCACATAACACTGAAGGAGCTGCCCGCCGTGCTTGTTTTCAAAGACGGAGCGTACTTTGTGTACGACGGTGAGTCCGAAGCCTTAGCTCACGCAGAACATTGTGGAGTCAGAATGCCGTGCCTCCTGCAGGCCTAGGTGTCCACGAGAGACCTAGTGGGTGTGACGTGTCCGTGCTGCTTGCAGCTCCGTGACTGGTCCAGGGGCTGGTGATGCGTTTCCTCCGCGTCACCCTGGCGTTTCCACTGTGTGCTTTCGTCTCGTCCTGGCTTGTGGTTGTGTGTGTGCCTTTGGTTTTTTTGTTCTTTTTTTGGGTCAGGTCATTTGCCTTTTTCAGAAGTGAGCCTTATGCAGTTTCTATACATTAATTTAAAATATTTAAGATTGATTTTTTAAAAAGATACATTTCAGACACACAAGAAGGTAAAGAAAGAAAACAGCGCCACTGGTGGCGATGCCCAGTGTATTCTTCCCCAGCTCCACCTCTGCTCCGCGGAAGCAGCACGACTCGGCTCTGCTTCCTTGAGGCAGACACTCAGGCTGGTTCTAAAATGTTGTTGTTATATTGAACACACGTGCTACACACTGCTAAAGGCGTCGGTCCCGGCACACATGCCCGCCACCCAGGCGAGACCGTGGCTGAGACCGTGGGCGAGCTCGTACCCACATTTGCTTCGCAGGTTTTTTTCTTTGCTGAACTATTTGAAAGCAAGTCCTGGTGGCATTTCATTATTATGTGCTTCGTTCTGTGTCTCTTAAAAATGTGGCCTTTTTATGTTTAGGGAGCCACATGCTGTTAGAGCACTTAGCAGAATTAACAGTAATTCCCAGACGGTGCCGCGAGGTGCCGGGCAGGGCGGCAGACTCAGTGAGGCATGGCTGTGCGTCTTCGTCCTTCCTGCGTGGGTGTGCTCGGGCCGCACGCTGTGGATGGGTTCGTGAGCTGGGGCTGCGACCCTGGCGTTCTGTCCATGTGGATGCAGTAGGACATTGTAAACATCCCAAAGACATATTTACACTATAATTGTCATTTTCTTTTATTTTTAAGAGTACGAAGATGGTGACCTGTCATCTTGGATCAACCGGGAGAGGTTTCAGAATTACCTGACTATGGACGGCTTCCTCTTGTATGAACTTGGAGACACCGGTACAAACATACACACAGCTCTCCATCCCTCTACAGAACTTCTCCTTGGTCGATCACTTCAGTCTGATTCTCTAGGACAAGAATTCTGAGCCCTACTTTATAATTTCATTTCTTCTTTACACCTGACTGCCAGTCTGATTTATGAGAATATAGATTCATATCACCCAAAGCATGCCTCTGTGTGTGGGCCGAAGCTAGCGGGAGGGCTGGTGGAGCGAGGGCGGCAGGGAACAGCCGGGGCAGGAAGGAGAGAGCATGTCCCCCCGGAAGCAATGTTCGGAGGCTGAATTTGTAATCGGACCTGAAGAGGATTTATCCCACCCTCTGAAGCCTGCCTTAGCTTGTGCAGAGAATGTTAATATCAAATTGGCACAGTTTCCTAGAGTTACATGATTGAAAATGACAGGCACAGCAAACATAGATTCAAGAATGAAAGCTGTATAAGAGCTAACAGTATGGTCCAAAGAGGTGCAGACTACAAAAATTATAAAATGCTGACCGTGTAAGTTCTAGAAGGAAGCGTTTTATAAATGTGTGATGAATTACAGAAGAAAGACGTCCTGGTTGGTGTTGCCACATTCGCTCCGTCCACACCTGTACAGTCAGCAGGGTGCAGGGGGTTGGATGAGGAGAGGGAAACCACGTACGCTGGTGGGTTTCCGGAGGAAGCCATGGCGACGCCTCTCCCTGACTTCCTGCTCTTGAATCCGAATCCGGTGGAGAACACAAGTTAGCGAGGCTGCGGGTTTGTTCTGGGTTTGAGCCTGCTTCGCACATTGTGTCTGGCGGTGGCTGGGTCCTTCCCTGTGCTCACCCGGGGAGGCGCGTGTTGGCTCAGACTTGGGCCTTGACATGGATACTGTCCGGTGTTGAGGAGTCGCTTTCCGATTCTTTCAGGCCAGTGCAGGGGAAAGGGGACATTTTGCTTTCAGTGCAGTGACCCTGGGAGACAGCGTGACCTCGAGGCAGCTGCATAGGCGGCCGCAGCGGCGCTCACATGGTCGGTGCTCCCCGGTGAGCGTGGAGAGAAGTTGCTGCGCAGGCTCCTTTCGTGCCTGACCCTCGGCCTTCTTAGGAGTCAGGTTCGGCTGTGCCTTGTGTCGTACCGCTTGGCCACTTAGCAGGCAGGCATCGGACACCTCCTGGGTCTCGGGCTTCAGATACTCACTGTCTTTCTCAGAAGCTCTGGTGCCTCTTCCGCCTCCTGCCTGCATCTCAGGTTCACTCCAGCCTCCCCCCTCCCCCCTCCCCCCCCTCTCCCCCTTCCCTTCCCTCCCCCTCCTCTCCCCTCCCTTCCCTCCCCTCCCCTTCCCCTCCCCTCCCCCTCCTCTCCTCCCCTCCCCTCCTCTCCCCTCCCCTTCCCTTCCTCCCCCTCCTCTGCCCATCCCTTCCCTCCCCATCCTCTTCCCTCCCCTCCCCCTCCTCTTCCCTCCCTCCCCTTCCCCTCCCCCTCCTCTCCCCTCCCCTCCCCCTCCTCTCCCCTCCCCTCCCCCTCCCCTTCCCCTCCCCTCGCCCCTCCCTCCTCTCCCCTTCCCCCTCCTCCTCCCTCCCCTTCCCTTCACTCCCCCTTCCCTCCCCTCCCCTTCTCCCCTCCCCCTCCTCTTCCCTCCCCTCCCCCTCCTCTTCCCTCCCCTCCCCTTCCCCTCCCCCTCCTCTCCCCTCCCCCTCCCTCCCCTCCCCTCCCCTCCTCTCCCCTCCCCTCCCCCTCCTCTCCCCTCCCCTCCCCCTCCTCTCCCCTCCCTCCCCCTCCTCTCCTCCTCCCCTCCCACACTGACCTTTCAGTGTCCTGAGAGGTTGTGTACCTTGCACCATCCTGTTTTCTTTGCATAGCAGTACATAGCTAATTTCTGTGCATGCATCAAACTCAGACCAATATTGATTCCTTTGGGAAATCTTTTAGTGATCCCCTCAAACTGCATCTGTGTACTGCTCCTTCCTTCAGAACTGTTGTGATGTCACCCCACAGGTGTCTGTGATGGTCCCTCCTGCTGGGCTGGGCTTTCCCCAAGTGCAGGGCTGTGTCTGCGCGTGGCCGTGTCCTGCGGACCAGCCCGGCGCTGCTGCGTGGCTGGTGTCGGGATGGGTTCCCTGTGAGGTCTGCCGTGCTGGCCCGCAGGAAGCTGTCTGCGCTCTGGGCGTCTGCAGGCCGGGAGGGTCGTGAAGCACCTGAGAATTAAGAAGCACAGCAAAAACCAAGCACTGAAGAGTAGATGAAATGTTGTCAAGAGGGGAAATAATCATTGCGAACTGATGTTTTCAGCTGAGGGTTAAAGAAGAGTCAAGATTGTGTGGACCTGAGAGACCCACGTGGCAGTGTGGACTGAGGGAAGGAGTCAGTGTGGGGATGGTCGTGAGAAAGTGTTGCCTCAGTCCTGCGTTCATGTACCTGCCTGAGCCAGATGCGTCTGCGCCATCTCGTTCGGCTGCCCGAGCTCTGAGGTCGACACTGGATTCTGAAGCCAGTGAGGTTGGCGGAGGTTGAGTCCCACAGCCTGTAAGTGACAGTGCTTCCGAGGCCCAGGGCGTAGTGGACGCTGAAGGTCGTGCGTCCTTCCCAGAGGATATCCGAGGTGAAGGGGACCCCTGCTCTGTGCAGGGCTAAGGAACTTCGAGTCCAGCGTATGTGTGTGTGTCACTGGCGAGTGGTGACTCGTGGTGCCGAAGGGAACAGCATGTAGCCGTCATTCTTGTTACACGTACGTGCACCCTTGTGGAGCCAGTGATTCAGTGCATGTCTTCCGCTCTTTGCTTTTGACAAACTTCTCATTTTAATCAGGTGTGGGTTGTGTGGAAAAATACAAGTTGTGCATATGAAGTGTTAAATATTTATTATTTAATTTTAAGGATGGGAGCTGGGAGGGAATTTATCACTTGGAGTGGACTAACTCACTGATCCACTCTACTGAGCACATCCCGTGTGAGATCATTGGAATTCCGTCATAGGAGCAGTGTTTACTATTCCCCACTCACAGCGACAGTAGCAATGGGAAGTCTGCATAATGAGTGTGTTGAATGTAGATGTGTCCTTCATTTCAGGGAAGCTCGTGGCTGTCGCAGTGATCGATGAGAAAAATGTGTCAGTCGAACATACCAGGTAAAGTGCCTTGAAAGAGTGTTAAGCTCCAAGTCACCTAATTTAGACTTTACTTGGCCTCAGATGAACTATCTTTTTCTGCAGAATTAGATAAGGTGGCAGATGTTATAATTGAGTAATTATAATTTATTTTTCAAGTGAAAAATAAAAGATTCATGTGTTTATTCGTCTACAGATTGAAGTCAATTATTCAGGAAGTTGCTAGAGATTACAGAGATCAGTTCCACAGGTAGGTGCTGGCATGCCGGCCGAGTCCTCCAGTTTTGTTTAACTGTTTTGTGAGACAATAAACCCAAATGGTGGGTTTCGTACTTTCCGAGATGCTCAGAGCTGAAGTGACGGCAGCACATTGCACATCTGTGCGAATTATCTGGACTGGAAGTTTGTTGATGAGTCCCGTCCACAGATTTGTATTATACCTGCTTCTTGACAGGATTTGGGATAGTTTTACGATAAGAAGATATGCAAGTATGCTCACACATTTGAGACAAAATTAAATGAGCGATCACAAGTCGGAGAGACAAATGATGCTTGTGATAGGACCTCAAAGAATAACGGGATGTAAGAACAAGTGATGCTTCTGCTGTGTGCTAAATCATGCTGTTTGTTGCTGACATGAGACAGTCAGTATAAGTTATTTTATTTAATTGCTATTCCCTTTTCATTGCATCTTCTAACGATGTATCAAGGGTGATACTTGTACCTGAGCATCTTCCGAGCAGTCCCTTCTAGGCTGTGCGGCTCTTAAACACGCTGTAGCTGGGCAGGCTTGTATTGCCTGCACTGAAGCACATGTGAGCAAGTGGTTCAATTTTACTTATGTGTATTCTATCTCATAGGCATATAGAATTAGCTCTTCTATTTTTACTGTACGTGATTTCTATGTTAAATATTTAGTGTTTACATGCTTACCAAGTTCAGTTCCTTTTTTGTATTAAATATTTCTCTCTTTTTTTTCTTTTTTCTTTTTTTGTTATTGTCATTGTTGGTTAGGGATTTTCAGTTTGGACATATGGATGGAAGTGACTATATAAACACCTTGCTGATGGAGTAAGTGTAAATTACTTTCCTATCAATTCCGTCAGTTCTTAGATTCGGTTTCTGAGACAGGACTAGAATGGCTGATGCATGATCTCTCACCGAACACTTTGTCTTTAAATCTGCCTTTAAACTTTCAGACTCTCCCACACCAAAAAAGTCTCCCATTCTGTGTTAATAATGTATATTATTTTGAAAAGAAGACATCATTCAAAAACTTACAAATTTTGTAGTTTCTTTTTAATACACACCTTACCTTCAGTTCAGTTTTAATGAACACATTTAACTTAAGAAGATTTTTAACACTCAAGAATTAATTGCTATCCTAGAAGAATTTAACAGACTGAAATAACTTTATAGGGAAAATATGCAATTTTAAAATGATCTCGTCAGTTCTCTCCATGGTGTGAAGATCTGATTTGTTACTTCACAAAGTGGACATTAGGAAGCATTCGCCACACTTACCCGGAGTCACCACGTCTCAGCTGAGAGCCTACGCAGCTCAGTGGGCATTGAGTGCGTCTTCGCTGGGTGTCATCTGTGGCGTTTGGCACTGTTGATAGGGGCGTGACAGCTTAGAGTCCTTGTCTTTAGGTGCTGGGGGAGACAGCGTGGTCCTCACAGAAAAGGTCGGTGTGGCAGAGGGTTCTGGAAGCGTGGAGACCCCCCACCCCGATGCACAGGAAGGTGGACGGCCTCGCGGAAGGCTTGCCAGAGGAGGCAGTGATTCCGGGACGACCTGAAGAGTGACGAGAGCTGAACGGATGGTGGGGAGAGGTGACCTCAGGCAGGTTGTGAGAGCAGAACAGGAGGCCTAGCAGGATAGGGCGTAGCAGTGCGCTGGGCTGTGTGTACCGCGTACCCGGCTGGAGCGGGCCAGCTCCCTGCAGACAGGTGCCCCTGTCCAGGTAAAGTCGGCAGCGTGATGCTGTGATTTGATCTCTCGCTTTGCTTACGGGCATGGGTGTAGCAGATGCCTTCATTTCTTCATGCGGTCAGTGGGTTTCCAGCGAACACAGTGGGGAAATGAAACCAAACTTACCAACTCAAAGGGAAATTTGTATTGTTTGGTTAAAAGCCTAAAATTGTAAAGTAATGTTACCTTTTTCTGTTTATATTCGAGCTTTTATCCCTCTGATTCTAATTTGAGAGGGTTTACTAGAGATACAAAGTACTAGATGTCGTACATATAATGAAGAAATCAAGACAAAGGAAAACAGAATATAGGATCTGTAGAATAATTAAAGGTACTTGAAAAATTGGGCCCTGCCTGAATTTTTAATACTCAACACAAAGTAGAAAAACGTTACCGACACGTTTTCCATCACCTATTAAATCCCTTCGTTATAGGAGTGCAGTTGGCCTTGTGCAAACCTAAGAGAAGTTGCTGTTCTGTCCCGCCTCATGAAGGGTGGTGAATGGGTGTTCACGACGTATACAGTAGGGACTTGGCTACGCCACTTCTCATAACGGCCTTCGAGGCAGGCCAGTATACTGACTCAATGAAACAGTGTTTGCAAGAGGCCAGAGCAGTCTGGGTCCAATAAAGAACTGCTTGACCCAGGATAATATTCGGAGTAAGTAGAGATGGACACCCCTTCATGAGGATGATTTCTAATGTGAGTTGTGAGACATTACAAGTTTTAAGCTAAAGTTATGATAGGAGAACAACAATGATCTCTACCCTCTATCACCAGCCTCTTGTAGTTTGGGGTGGTGATTTTTCTTCTTATTCATACTGTGCTTTTTGTGGTGGTGGTGGTTTTATGGTTTTGTCTCTGAGAGAAGAGAGAAGGCATATAGTGCTGGTTAGATAATATAATTGAAAGTCCTCACTGGGCCCTCACCTGGGCCGACGCTGGGCTGCGTGGTCAGTAAGGTGCAGGCACCCGATCCCCAGCTTAGGGGGCACTGACATGCCGAGGGGCCGCAAGCAGGGGGCTTGGAAGTTCAGGGCTCTTGCTTCGAAAGCTCTGCTGCTCCACATGGACACGTGTCAGCGCAGCTGCGCGCGCAGCACATCATCGTGTGCGCAGAACATGGTACACACAGCACATCATCGTGTGCGCAGAACATCATAGGAAATGATCACATCGCAGTGTTGGCTACATTGTTTCACTTTCTCTCAAGCTGAACAGGATACCACCGAATCCTTGGTCTGTTAAGTTAGTTTGTGCTGAGATCTCGTGAGTGTAATTGGAGGCAGCAGAGCGAGATGCCATCTCCCATCATCACTCAAGTTGCAGTGATAGCACAGCCGGCACCCCTGCCCGGTAGCAGTGCTGGTGCTGGCTCCCTTGGGGACCCAGGGGCCCAGCAGCAGCACTGGATGCGCCCGGTCCCCTTGGCCAGCTGGGGCTCAGCTCCGTGGCTCCAGATCCCCGGTCAGGCCCAGGTCTGCTCCACTGGCTTCAGTGTCCGTGACCTTGGAGGGATCTTGTCCTGGGGCCCTCTCTCCTGGCAGTCGCAAAGCTCCAGAAGCAAGCCCAGCGCCGGGCACAGGCCCAGACAGCTTCCTCCCGCTGTCACCTCCCCTTCACCTGGTCGTGCTGCGCCCCAGCCTCCGTCTGATGGGCAAGCACCTTGTGGTGGGGGAGGGGTGGGGAATCACAATCAGCAAAGCAGTCTCCGGGACTCAGTTACTCACAGGTAGTGATGTGCGTCATTGCTGCTGCAGAGTTCCCTCCTGCGTGACACGTGTGTAGACATGCAGCTAACCATAGGCGGGGTGTGTAGGAGACACACCTTCCTTCTGTGATTATGTAACAGCCGAAAGGAACAAGCCCCCATCCCAGTGAGATGGCACGTGGGTGGCACAGGTCTGTCTGAAGCCCAGCTGGGTGCTGGTGAGGGTGGCAGGCCAGTGCTGCGGGCAGGGAGGTGCGGGTGAGCTGGTGTCGACCTGCGTTACGTGCGGGGTCCCGAGCTGACTACTGAACTCCACGCTTCCTCGTCTCATTGTATAGCAAGCAGGCCCCCCGCACCTTGCACTCATTCATAAATGAGAACTAAGCTGTGAACACTCAGCGGTGGACAACCCCAGGTCTGAACGCAAGCAGCATGGCTCCGGAGACCACGCCCGTCCCCGTTCGGTTGCCCGTGTCCATTCCACGGCGGTGGGCGGCCTGTGACCGCTGATGGCGTGTGACGTGTGTCTGTGCAAGGAGTGCTACTGCCCAGAAATTGATGCTTCGTAAATGATCATTTTTCTCCTTAAGTTTCATTATGAAAACTCTGCCGTCTTATGTTATATGTTATATATATATGTCTTATATGTTAAAAAAAGATTTTCCATATAATCTTAATTTAGCTATGTTTTTAATTGCTAAATGAAATTTTTTTCATGGAGGCAAAAGGAAGCAAAGCTCTTAATACAGCCCCTCTTTTTTAATTATAGCTACTTAGTTATAATACAAATACATATCAGAATGTGTGTTATAATACAAATACATATCAGAATGTGTGTTATCTGTGTATTCAGCGCGTATTTTGATTTCTTTGTTTTTCTGTTTTCAGTGAATTGAATGTCCCAACTGTCGTTGTACTGAACACTTCAAACCAACAGTACTTCTTACTAGACAGACAGATTCAGAGCACTGAAGACATGGTCCAGTTCATCAATAGGATTTTGGACGGCACAGTCCAGGTGAGCGGCTCACTTCTGTTCCGTAGGGGCTGGGAGGAGGCGGAGGAGCGTCCCCTCCGACTCTGGGAAGGAGAGTGGACCTCACCTGCGGAGGGAGGGAGGGGCACGCCTCCCCCTGCAGTCTCACCTCTGGCTCCCAGAGCAGCAGCTGTTTCTGCTGTGGAAGTCACCTGGGAGTTTATAAGTGTGGGCAAACACCTGCTGAAATGAAGCTCACCTGTGTGCGTGAGCGCCGTCCTGTCTGTGGGTCTGTGAGACCCAGCTCGGGCGTCGGGCAGCCAGGAGGCCTCGGTGGCCCCACGGCCGAGAAGTCAGGGAGCGAGGCGGACCTCAGGGTGGCTGACGCCAGGGACTGGACTGCTGCTCATCAGGAGTGTTTCAGTCTCTGCCTTTCGGCACTTTTCACCGTGAGCCTCATCCTGGGGACACGTGCGCTGGGCGCAGCGTCGGGCCGCCCCGGCCCGGGTGGGTTGTGACTAGGGAGGACACGCTCCCCAGGGCAGAGCAGGGTCCATGCAGGAGGCGGGAAGACTCAGCACGTGGCTCACCTCCCTGTACCTCGGTCCTTCGTGGAACCGCCCCGCCCTCGGCCGGCAGCTGTGAGACGGCCTGACCGAGAGGGACTAGTACTCACACTCGGGCTAATTGCCTTTTTCTGTTACATTGAAGGCCCAAGGAGGTGATAGCATTTTGCAGAGACTGAAAAGAATGATATTTGACGCCAAATCCACCATTGTGGTAAGTGTGACGTTGACCTTCGTTGATAATTGACAGTAGATAGGTGTCTGGGTTCTGTATGTCTGACTAAGGTGAAACCTGGGTTTGAAAGGTGTGGGTGAAGCTCTCCATTTAATTTGCAAGGTAAGAGCACGTCTGAATTTACATTAGGAGTTCATGTTCGTCAGGGAGAAAGTGTTTCTGTTTCTTCCCTTGCTGTGACTGGTGAGTAACGGGTTCCGGGTCCGTCCACTGGACAGCAGGGCTTCCTGTTCTCCGTCTCCCTCCTCTGCCCATCAGTCCTGGGATCTGAACCCTTCTCGCTTAGAACGCTCAGAACCTTCCTGTCCTGGCCTCGGCTCGACCAGCCTGAGAGCGAGGCCTTCCTGAGCCTGCTTGAGCCTCCAGCTAGTCCTAGTTGCCTGTCTGGGCTACGCCACGGGTGTTCTCATCCACTCTGGCCAACAGCAGCCAAATCATAGCTCCCCTTCTCTGGGGAGAAATGGGTTCTGAGGTTTCTTCACGCATCTTTCAGCTCACCAGGGACCCTCCTCCCCCGTTCACCCCGACGTGATGGCCCCGAGCACCTGGTGTCCAGCTGCTGCTCCGGCGTCCACTGGTTTCCTCCTTCCCTTGCCCTGTCTCCAGCCCGTGCTCGGCACCACTGACAGCTGACAGCACAGGCTGCTCGGCCCTGCCCCTCCTCCGCTGCAGGGCTCGCGGGTCCTCTGAGGCTCCGCTGCCGGCCTCCCCGTGCTGCTGCGCGTGCTGCGCCCGGCCCGCGGCTCCCCTCGCTCAGTGTCTGCTCCAGACGCCTGCGTTCTGTGAAGCTTGCTCGTCTTCTCAGTCCACAGTGACCTTGCACTCTGGGTCAGTCTGCATGGCTCTCGGGGTCAGTCCCGGCCACAGGGTGGACTGTGGTCGGAAAACCTAACCAGGGCAATTGCTTTTACTCTTTGGGGAGCTGAAGCGACAGATAAATGGAGGGAAATTATTAAGTTGATGTGGCTTCACTACTAACCAGAGAAGTGAAACATGTACATGTAATCAAAGGGGGTGTCGTGCCTTCCTCATGGCTGACGGGCAGCCTTCGGGGGGCGGAGCTCTGCAGCCCAGGAGCGGCTCTGGCAGGAGGCACGCGGGAGCCATCGCCCGCGCTTGTGCCCAGTGCGAGAGAAAGACACGTCGCTAGAAAAGGCGATGGGGCATCTGGTGCCTTTCCCTTTCTCTCTTTCAGTCCTCACCGGAGCATGTTCTTTCCATTGCTGTTTAGAGAGAGTGGAAGGGAGGGAGGGCAAGAGAAACATTGATGTGAGAGACACATTGTTTGGTTGTCTCCTGCATGCACCCCAACCTGGGCAGGGATCAAACCTGCAACCCAGGTACGTGCCCTTGACCAGGGTTCGAACCTGGAACCCGTCAGTGCTCGGGCCCACACCCTAACCACTGCCCAGGGCTGATGCTTTTTCTACCACCAGGAGCTGGTTACAAGCATGCGCATGCGCGCATCCACCCACCCATAAAGTTCCTCTCTCGCTGTCTGTACCACGGCAGTTACTGCAGAAACACCCGCCCTGAGCAGGGGGTGGCCGCCGGAGGCCTTGCACGCGGCGGTCCCGTTCAGTCCCCGTTCAGTCCCCGTTCAGTCCCGCTGCACTGCAGACGCAGCCTGAGGGCTGAGCTCTGATTCTCTCTCCACAGTCCGTATTCAAGAGCTCCCCGGTCATGGGCTGCTTCCTCTTCGGCCTGCCTCTGGGTGTCATCAGCATCATGTGCTACGGCATCTACACGGCCGACACGGACGGAGGCCACCTGGAGGAGCGGTACGAAGTGTCCAGGAGCGAGCTGGAGAGCCAGGAAGCGGACGAGGAGGAGGAGAGCGCAGCTGAGCAGGAGCCGCGGGGCGGGCGCCCTCTGCTGCCTGCGGGGCAGGGGCCCAAGGACGTGCTAGAGAAGAAGACAGACTGAGACTTAGCTCGGGTTTCAGATGATTAAAGAGTCTATTTATTGAATTCACACATTTAATCATGATCTTTACAGAAGAGAACAAGTTATTTGTATTTTGCTAATATCAACTGCATGGATTAAAGTAGTCCTTCATAAATGGGGAGATGTTTGGAGCAAAGAGAGGAAACATTTGTCGAAAACAAAAAATACTCCATCGAAGATGACCTTCTAGATGTTCAAACCGATCAGTTCTGTGCGCATGGTTTTTTGTGTGAATATTCGGCAACAGAATTAAGATTCCTGGGCAGAATATTTCAGTGGGTCTGTCGGGTAGAAGGTTTGATAGGAAAAACTAGCCCTTCCACCTCCTAGCATCGTCCTCTTATATTTTAGATAAAATTTATAAGGACAAAATTAAGTCTTGAAAATTTAGGCACTTTAAGGCGAACTAATAACTTTTTCCATGGGTCAATTTAAGATTATGAAATTTTAAAAATTTGGCTTTATATAGCATAGCAATTTTATTTTGTTATTTTTAAAGGAGAAGAAATGTTACTTTTTAACTTTATACTTAGTTGCATTGCAAATTTTCACATTGGCCTATATAGTGGCAAAAAGAGTCTTGTGTTTGGTTTCTGTAGCTGAAACAGGGTTCCTCGGCCTGGCGACTCGGACCACACACTGTGACAGTTCCTGGGTCCCGCGGTCACCGCAGGGAGGGGCGGGGCTCTGCCGGAGCAGCCTGCTTTTTCTGTTTCCCATGTTGAGATTCTTCTACAAATTTCCTGCTATTAAAAACACCTACTTTTTAAAAAAGTATATATATGATATCATATATATGTATCTCATGTCATTGTTTATGGCACAGTAGCTTTATGGTAACATCTCATATGTGCGTGTGTGTACATGTGCACACATACACATATCCAAGTTGTCCGCATACATCCGTTAGGTACTATTATGGGCATATCTATGTTCGTAGTAGGGAATGAGTGACATAATCAGCCTGTCAACAAAATCATGGTCAGTGTTAGGAGGTCGACCAGTCGCCTGCTCTATCCTCTCCATTCTGCAGCCTTCCCGCCTGTCAGCTCTGATGAAATCCGTCCAAGGAATGCAGACCGCCCTTGAGGCCGCTGTTTTAGCTAAGTTGAGGATTTTTATTAGGTGGCTTTTATTTGGGTGATTATCCATTGAGTGTTTGAGTTATTCAATGTAAAGAATTTTATTAAGTGTTTTAAAATGTTCATCCCTTTTAAAACCGTCATCCCTGGTCCTGACGCTGACATTGTTTAGGGCCCTCGAGGCAGCCTTGTTTATTCCGGATGCCATGCTGGTCACAACTAAACTGAAGCTGTATCCTAAGGCTGAAGCGTTAGAATCCATGTGCTTTATCAGTGCGTAATGGCACCGGGCCTTAGTGTGCGCCAGCCTGTTGCTGTTTTCATGACGAATCGCATGTGCGATCTCAGGGAGTTTCAGGAAATACTAGAACGAAGTTTTCTTAAGTGGAATTTGGAGATAAACGCTGTTAATTTGACCAGCAGATTCTTCTCCAAAGGGTAACGAGGATTGTTTGGGGAGATAACCTTAGTGTTCCCAGGGGTCGCACGTGTTTCTCAGCAGGGACAAGCTGGCCCTAATGTGGACGCCTCCCTTGAGTGTCCAGCGAGGAGTCCGCTCAGCCGCTGCCCTTGCCAGCAGGACGCTGGAGAGCTTGTCCTTGCTTTTGGCTTCATGGTCATCGCTGTCGGATGTCCGTCATGTGCACGCGTCTGTCCTTTCTCAGGCATCAGATGGAAGGCCTCTAGGGGAAGAAAGAAAGGGCGGCAAGCTCAGTGTCAGCGACCAGAAGCCCAGCGATCCTTGTCTTCTGAGCTTTTCGTCTCTAGATGATGCCGTGGTCTCCTGTTCCCCTCCTCTCGGCTCTCCCGTTGTCCCGTGTTGTCTCTGCTTCCGAGTGTGTCCACTGGGAAGACAAAAGGTGTAGAGATTGTAAGTGAACAGTCGATTTCTTCCTCCATGTATTAATATCTTGCTCTTTACATGTCTCAACTCTTCACAAAACAAGTTTAAATGTTTGCTGACGGCCGTGCTTTCCCCGCTGGTGTGCTGTCAGCTTAGTAGAGGTGCTTTTCTTCATTTCTGGAAAAAATCCTTCCAAGTAAAGGTAGGTTTCTTAAGGGCCCTTGTAGGACAGATGCCCTAATGCAGTGAGGAGTCTTCCTGTGGTTACGTGTCGACAGAAGGAGTAGCCTTCAGTCTGGGACTTTCCTGCCTTTTAGTTGCTGTGAAGTTCTGTTTCTTCTAAAATCCAAAATCCTAGATGCTTGCTGTTGCTGAATTTAATTTTGGTGCTCAGACAATAGTCACAGGCGTTTCCGGGAGAAAGTGCGTGTTTTTCGTCACGCCACGCACACCACGTGCTTGCGGCCCTTGTCCACTCCCGTGTCTCCAGTGCTGCTTCTGAAGCTTCTCTGAGGGGGTGCGCCTGGGCTTCCACCTTCTCCTGCACGTCACGCTCCGGGGTCGTCAGTCGGCACCCGAAGGGCCAGATGCCGAGAGGCCAGAGCAGGGTCTGAATGGGTCGCTAAGCGATTAGCCATATTGTGTTTGCTTAGTAGATTGCTGTTGTTTCTTGTGATTTGTTTCAGGGCTTTTATTTTTGTATTTGTTTTGACTTTGCAAAAGTAATTTTAATAGTTTTGTCATTGCTGCAGTCTGGTGCAGAGGTAGGACAAGGACGAGTCATGTGGCTGCTCCGAGGCAGGAACTATTCAGTACACCAGTGTGGGATGTCAGGCCTGCCAGTAGGTGGGGTTGGGTTTGCCATTTTATTTTTATAAATATCTATTTTTTCTGGATGTGTCTGAGTCCAAGAGTGGGCAAACAGTTTTCTACGTTGGACTAATCTCTAAGGGTTTTTTGAAAGTCTGTATTACTCGTTGAATCCTGATATCCTGTCATAGGGCACCAATTGTAAACCTTTGTTTTTCTAAATTAAATTAATTGAAAACATGTCATCGCCTATTTTTACTATTTATCTCTTGTGCGACATGAATGATTCTGCATGCAAGCAGAGGACAGAGAAGACTGGTGTGCCACAGAGCATTTTCTCCTTTTATTAAGTTGTAAGTAATTTGTAATTATAGAAGCAAGTTTAGAGTTTGAACAGACTTGAGAAACATGACATTCTAATCTAATTCCCTTATATTTTCTATGAAGAACCTGAGGTCATAGGTTTGATACATTTTGTATTTTTGAAACCTGGTATTTTTCAGCATGAATGACAGCGTGTAAAGTTGGAATAATGGGATTCAAGTCCGAGATCACTCTAAGCTCTGATGTGGACACAGCAGTCACCCCTCCTTCACTTCATTGTCACGTGGGACTCGGAAGCCTCAGATTTTCTTTTCTGAAAGACCATGAAGGGGGGCGGGGGAGGAGGGAGAGGACACAGAGGGGATACATAGCATCAAATGGGGAGAATCGTAGGAAAACGAGTTCACACAAATGTGAACTTTTAAATTTCTGTTTCATGTGTTATACCTTGGGCATATCTCAGGGAGAATCACCCTGGCGAAAGGTCTTTCCCACACGACTTGCGGGCATGTACAGAGCAGCTGGTTAGCACAGGCCGCTCCCGATAGGAGGACAGAGCGTGTTCAGCTGTGTGAACTCCACCGGAGTATGACAGTCCCGTCCCTGCCAGGCCGCTGCGTCACAGCACACGGCGACTTCCAGGCTTGCTCTGTCACGCCTGTGCCAACCACTGCTCCTGGGCCTGCCACTTGGGGATGGTGGCCCTGTTTCCCTGGATTATGAAGATTTCGTGAGGAACACAAGACATATTTGGAACGTGACTGGCACATAGTAACAGCCCCAAAGTTAACTGTGTCGTTATCCAACAATGTATTTCTCCTCTCACTTCATTTGAATTTATATAAAAGCAAGGATGTGAAGAATGTAGAATCCTAATGTTTTAATTTGCTCGACCTCTCTCTAAAGTGTGACATTTTGAATAGAAATGAAAAAGTGATTTCTTTAACATCGAAATTACACTTAATTACAAATCCTTAGGTTCACAAACATTTCTGAAGAATCCTTTGAATGTTGCGCTTTTAATGAAAACGAATAAGCTTAAAGGGATATAAGTATCCAGTAGGGTTACTGGTGTGTGTGACTAGTTTAGGGAGAGATACACGTGACCGCGACACAGATGTAGAGTATTAGAGGATATTGAACTAAGATGGGAAAATTCTTTCATTTTCCTGCCTGTCTTCCTGACAGTAGGATAAGCCTTCAGCTTTTCTCTGGGCTGATCTCCTGCAGCTGGAAAGGTCTTCTGAACAACTAGGGAAAAGGCGATTACTTTCTTGCCATTTATTTTTTCCACGTGTGTATTGAATCCTGCGTGCTGCCGAGGGCAGAGCGGGGAAGGCAGCCGCAGCCTCGTCCACAGGGTTGTGCGGCTGTCGCTGAAGCTCAGCCGTTACTAACGGTGCTCGGTCGCACCCGGCCGGCGTGGCTCAGCCATTGAGCGTCGACCCTGCACCAGGAGGTCGCCTGTTTGATTCCCGGCCAGGGCACACGCCCAGGTAGTGGGCCTTATCCCCAGTCCAGCGTGTGCAGGAGGCGGCCAGTCGATGTGTCTCTCATCACTGTTTCTATCTCTCCCTTCCTCTCTCTCTAGAATCAATAAAGAAAAAATAAATAAAATAAATGCTTGATTGCAAGTCTTCCACTTGTTGTTCTTAGTGTCCTTCTCGTGGGATGTTCTTCAGCATAAAGTCCCTGCTGTCAGACCTCAGGACTCGGAGGGTAAGAGCCCAGGACAACACGGAACACGTCGGCTTCCTTCAAACACACGAGAGCTCAGGCTCACTAAGCATGCCCACAGCTGTGCCAGCACTGTGGGGGGTAACAGGACGAAGTTCCAGGTGAGGGAAACCTCAGCCAGGGGACTCCAGGTCGGACTCTGCCCTGAGGCCCAGCAGCCCACACTGGAGATGTTTCCTTCTGAGACATTCTGTGTCCTCTGTGCCCATGTTAATGATGGCCCCCGCTCTTCCCCACAAATAATCCAAAAACATTTTTATCCAGTTCTTACAGCACTGGGTGGATGAAGCCGTCGAGTGAAGCTGGCAGTTGTATAGAAGAAACAGTCTTTTTCACTGGCATCTAACATCACCGTCTTCCTCGGGAAGCCACTAGTTCTAGGGATCTTGGTGGGTGTCAGTGACTGATCACAGGGGCAGCTTGTGTTTCCCTCGTGCTTTCAATTCCCACTTATGTTCTAAATTCACCAGTGAAGAGTGAGCCCAAGAAACCCTGGGCCCCCACCCTCGACCCTGATACGTGTAGAACCCCAGGCCAGGCCCATGTGTGTTCTCTGTACCCATGACCTTGCTGTGTGCCCCTGGCATGCTTTGTCTGCTCCAAGGCCTGTACGTGTGAACCTCTTTGTCTTCAGAGTTTCCCAATGGTTGTGCCTGGAGGGGTCTTGGAATCCTGCCCAGAACCAGCAGGTGGTGGGTCCATTGGTTAGCGCTTGTTTAGAAGTATGGGGCGGGGGGGGGGGGGGGGGGTCCTGGGAAGCTCGCCAGGCTCAGGGGAACTGCTGTTCCCTCTGGCTGGAGTCATGTCTGGGCATCCTCAGACCCACCGCTCCTTCTCTAGGTCACCTTGTCATTCAGACCTTAACCGTCCTGTGGAAATGAGACCTGGCCTCCAGCACTCTGACCCCTTCACTCTGGTGCCTTATGTTTCCTGAGGACTTTTTAATAACGTGATATGTTGATTGCTTACTGCC